AGATAAATATTTATAAAAACGTTGAAGCTGGAAACAATGGAACCAACGGCCTGTATATGAGTTGTCTACAGGATATAACTTGTTTAGTGGTGGAAGTCCCTTAGCAGCAAGAGCCTGTTTAATTGGAGATGGAGCCACAGATGTCGAACATAAAAATCTAGCGGACATTAACCCTGGAGCAAATTCTGGATTCCCCATAATCGGGTTAAGAGGGCCCGGTATTGCAAAAATACCCAATTTTTGAATGGTCCAATCCCAGGTTCTCAGCACAGATTGTGTCAGGAATGGCATTGTTTGTCTAGGAGGGTGCAAAGTAGGCACAATTCATGGTAGGGAGGTCAAATCAATTGAGGACATTAATTGTTTAGCCTCCCTGGAGGTATTCCCGAGTGTAGCTCGGGGTAAAGTTTCAGTACCACAAGCAGTAACCCCGAGCTACACTCGGGAATACTCTGCAGCGTTGCTCCGCGATCCCTCGATCGCTTACCTTGTCCTGCGCTCCCGCGATGTCCCTCCTGCAGTGTCCCCGGCAATGTAATCCGGAGGATGCCGGCATCCGTCTTCTGGGTTCCGTCCCCTGCGACGTCGGCACGTACGGGGGACAGAACTGGCGGGAAATTTGAAAATGACAAAAAGTGATTCACTAAATACACTAAAATCACATAGTATAACATTCCTGTATCAAACCATTTCACATACATTTTGTCCCGAGTGCTTTGTCCGGCGCCCTGCCTGCATTTTTACTGTTCTTTCTGCCTGGAAACTGAGAAACGTCCATGGCGTCCAAAAAGCGTCCCTTTAGGTCAAAAGCGGTTTTAGATCAGCTAGAGAACAGCGATAGTAAATCAGAACCACTTGCAGAATTGAGTGATAATGATTTGTGGGGGAAATTCCTCATCAGACACTGAAAACGATTTTGCCACTTTGCTCAGCGATGTGCGAACTTGGTGCTCTATTTCAAATTCCAGTGTTTTTGGTTTGATTATTGAATTAAATTTTATTATTTTTTTTATGATTATTTATTAAATTATAATTTATGATTTCGTGTTTCAAGTTTTATCATACCCGGGATGTTTACTAGACTCTTGTTCAGACAGATTTCAGTGAGTTATTCCTAAATATTACAGCCTACAATAAAAAAAAATACATATTTCCATGCAAAAAAATGTACCGCTTTGAGCACAGAAATATGGACATAATCAGACCGCTAGGGAGGTTAATAGATACCCACTTTTTTGAATGGCTATGATAAAACCAATGAAGACTCCTAGTACATATAGATGCTATATGATAAAACTCCATATGGACAGCACAGTGGCTAAATGGTTAGCCTGGCAGTACTCTGGTGGTTTGTTCAAATCCCAACCTCGATACCATCTGCCTGGAGTTTGCATGTTCTTCATGTGCCTGCGTGGGTTTTCTCTGGGTACCCCCCCTCCCCCGTTCTGTGACATCCCCCATAAGCTGATCTAAATTTATAGGGAGATGATCAAAAGAGCAACTCTTCTCTGCCCTAATTAGGAACTGATAAGGATCACATGAATTTGGGGGGAGGTTGGTCAAAACCAGATTAGCTACAGACAGGCCAAAGTTATAAAAGATGATTGAGTCTCTGATCACAGAAAGGCAGGAAGTGAGAATCACCACAAACAGACAAAAAGATATAGGACTAATTATCCTGAGTTTTGCAGAAATTCAGTGCATAGCACAGAGGCAGTTTAAGGTGGAGATCACATAACTGCATTTACCCTAAGTTTGCAGAAAGTCAGTGCATAGCAGGTAGACAGTTTAAGGTGGAGATCACATAACAGCATTTTCCTGTGAAAAAGCAGATAGGACATGATCAGGGGGCTGTGTTCAACTGCTGTTTTGCACTGCAGCAGAAAATGCACTCACGCAGGACAATTACCACCCCCACAAACCCCCCCCACCTGTAATCGAATTCCAAATTCTTTTTCCCATTTATCCAACAAAACGATGGAGAGAGAGGTCCAAATATTTTAATAAGTATCTTATATATACAAGAAATACCATGGTTCCGTATAACACCCAAACTCAACATCTGTTCAAGTGGATACAGATCTTTTACTGCTCTTACTGGTTGTGGAAGTTCCACCACAGAGTGTCTTAATTGATATCACCACTCATCTAATACATAAAATAATTCCTTTTTATGTTTCAATTCTTCAAAAGAACATATTTTTCCCTTCTTCATAATATCCTTTAACTGTACATTCCTATCTTTTATCCATTTTCCTGATATATCCTCTTTCCCTAGTCGGAAAAAGTTCCCACAAGTGGTATTAACGGTGAATTATACTATCCAACTTGTTTATGCGTCCCATATTCTAAATACATTCTGTGTTAGAGTGCTTGTGCTTTCAGAAAAAATCCGAAACTGTTGTGGAATCCAAGTAATTTTATCTGTGTCTCGCCTAGTGTACCTTCCATTTTTACCCAGCTTTTCCCTCGTGTATTATATACCCACTCAGCTACCCGTGATAATACTGCCAAATAGTAATGTCTCTTAACCTCCCTGGCGGTCTGATTATTTCAGATTTTTTGGTGCTGAAAGCGCTACCATTTTTTTGCATGGAAATATGTAGTTTTTTATTGTAGGCCTGTAATTTTTAGGAATAACTCACTGAAATCTGTCTGAACAAGAGTCTAGTAAACATCCCGGGTATGATAAAACTTGAAACACAAAATCATAAATTATAATTTAATAAATAATCATAAAAAATAATATAATACATTTAATTAAATAATATAATCGAACCAAAAACACTGAAATGTGAAATAAGCGCCAAGTTCGCACATCACTGAGCAAAGTCGCAGAATCGTTTTCAGTGTCTGACGAATTTCCCCCACGAATCATTATCACTCAATTCTGCAAGTGGTTCTGATTTACTATCGCTGTTCTCTAGCCGGTCTAAAACCGCTTTTGTCATAAAGAGACGCTCTTTGGATGCCATGGACGTTTCTAAGTTTCCAGGCAGAAAGAACAGTCAAAATGCAGGCAGGGGACTGGACAAAGCACTCGGGACAAAATGTATGTGAAATGTTTTGAAACAGCAATGTTTTACTATGTAATCATTTTTAAAAAATTTCAAATTTGCCGCCGGTTCCGGCACCCGTATGTCCCGACGTCACAGGGACCGGAACACGGAAGCCGGATGCTGACATCGGCCGGAGGAGATGGCCGGGTACACTGCAGGGGATGCATCGCGGGAGCGAAGGACAAGGTAAGCTCTGCAGGGACTCCCTATGCAATGCTGCATGGTAAGCCCGAGTGTAGCTCGGGGTTACCGCTTTTGGTACTGAAACTCTACCCTGATCTACACTCGGGAATACCGCTAGGGAGGTTAATATCCACAACATTTAAGCCCCCGTCTAATTTATCCTTACACAGGACTTCATATTTTGCTCTGTTTTTTATTTGCCCATATATACCTTTTTAATATTATTTTCTTTTTTTTTTAAGATCCCAAAGTATGTCATTGGTATATAGATCGAGAGCATATTAAATTTATACAGAATTTTTGGTATCACCATTTTCACCAAGTTTATTCTTCCTACCCAGGAGAATGAAACACTTGAGCTTTCCCTCAACTCATTCTTTATCTCGCTTATTTATGGGATGTAATTTACCTGATGTATGTTCTTAAAGGACGAAGGTAACTTTATTTCCAAATATTTTAGTTCTTTTTCCCTCCTTGTGAAAGGAAACACATTTTGTAAAGCCATTTTCTCTATCTTTGGGACACTTAATATTTAATATCTCCGACTTTGAAAGGTTCACTTTTAAATTTGATAGGTCTCCGTAGTATTTTAATATTCTCATTAAATTTGTTAATGTTAACCTAGGATTTACCATGTAGAATAACATATTGTCTGCGTACGTTGCAACTTTATGTTCCATATCTTTTATCCAAATTCCTTTAATATCTATACTTTTTTGAACCGTAGCTAGTAACGGCTCTAAAGATAATACAAATAGCAGGGGCGAAAGTGAACATCCCTGCCTAGTTCCATTTATATATTTTAATCGCTGGTGACAATGAGCCATTAATCTTTACGACTGCTGAAGGATAACTATACAAGTTTTTCTATCCAAACCAGAGAAAGCCACTTGCACCGATATCGAGATATCAGGATGTCCGCAAGCATGGGGTAGGCTGGGGTGGAATAGCTGCGTTACGTCAGGGTCTCCCCCATACGGCATGGGCATGCATCCAGAGCTCCTATTCCATGCTCCCTGATGGCGCCATGTTCAGACCCCCCAGCTGAGTGCCCCTCATCTAAAAACGATTGTTGTATTTCTTATATAATGAAGCATAATCATGAAAGGTTAAAGCAGAGTTCCGCTCAAAAGTGCAAGTTCCGCTTATTTGCCTCCCCCCCCCCCCCCCTTTCCACTGCCATGTGGCACCTTTTGGGGGAAAGGGGGAGCTGATACCCGAATTTGACAGGTACCCGCTCCCACTTTCGCTGCTGAGGAGATCGGAAGTTGTATTCCCTCCCCGTAGTCTTCTGGGACACGTGACAGGTCCCAGAAGACTACGGGGCCAATCACGCAGCGCTTCTCGCACATGCGCAGTGGGCACCTGGCTGTGAAGCCGTAAGCTGTCACAGCCAGGTGCCCACACTGAAGATGCCAGCGCCGGAGAGAGAAGACGACCAGTGGAGCCAGCCATGGCGAGGACACCGCTGGATCGAGGGACAGGTAAGTGTCTGTATTTTAAAAGTCAGCAGCTACAGTTTCTGTAGCTGCTGACTTTTTTTTTTTTTTTTTTCTACTGGAACTCCGCTTTAAGAAACTAAAAAAAAGAAAAAGGAAAGTGCCTACTCATAGCAACCCAAATGTTAGGTATTCATCTTAATGTCACCTATATGGTGCTGCAAATATTAATCTAAATGAACGCTTTTGGATACAGGTTGGTTGCATTTGATCAACCATTGCTGAACTAATGTGTTACTTCTTGTGTTTCTCATTTTAGGGTTCCTCGAGTTCATTTCAAAGCCTCCTGGCTAGCTGTAACTCTCGGTTGGTGTCTGCTGCTACCAGGTAGAGTCCAGCTTCCTTTCTTTCCCCCACAATGAAGCATGTTATAGATCTAGTTGTATGTTCTCTTCTTTTAGGCTTCATACACACTGCAGTTTTTGTTTTTCAAATTTCTATTAAACATTTGCAGACCAGCGACGTACCTGTTCATTGTTGGTTCTACTGGGATGATGCCAGGAGCTTCTGGAATCATGCCGGGGTATTGTTTGTTAGAGCAGACGGTGTTTCTTATAAAAGCAATTCAAAGAAGCTAATTAAACACTCGATTGCTTTTACAAGCAGCCGGAGGGGATGTCTTCTCCTGCTGCCTTCCACAACTCTCTTGGGCTCTGTCCCACCGGGAGATCCGAGCGATCAGCCAGCTCTTCCACCAGCTGATCATAGAAGCAATCAGAGGCCGGATTGGCTTTGATCGCCTCTATGATATAGGATACCATAAACAATGAGCATTCATCACTTTTGGTTTTCCCCGGATGTATACAGCACAATTTTTAACATGGGAAAGTATCTGACCACACCAATCTGGGTGTAATCAGATGCTTTTAACAGCAGAGGAAACCCCACATCTCTCCGTAAAGAGTATCTGTCAGTACCTATTGTTATCACAGGGGATATATAGTGTAAAATCCCCTGTAATAACAATAGTGATTAAAAAAAAAAATAATACAGCGACCGTGCACATTTTTTACCTGCCAAAAAATTATGCATTTATTTATTTTTAATTTTTTTTTCAAAAGATGAACTTAGCCTTTAAGATATGAATTTAGGGAGCTTTAAAAAAAAAAAAAAAATCCTAAAGGAGGCTAAATGTTAAAAAAAAAAAAAAAAAAAATATGGATTTTATTTAAGTGACCATTTCAGATTTATTACAATACATTGATTTGGTGGTAAGAATGAATTTACTTTTATGATTCAACTTAAGACACAGTCACCCATAATCAAACATAACACCTACAGAAAACCCGTGGTGTAAATGTCCGCTCACATAAAGGACCATCCCAATACCTAGAGTGAGGGGTGGTATTCCTAAACTGAGGGATGGTAAATGTAAGATGACTTGTCTGCTGTGGCATTTATTATTATTATTTTTTTAAAGTTGTCATTGTTTTCCAGGATCGAAGGTTTATCTCTCTTGTCCTTGGTTGTTGAGGAATCTCCTACAGATGTATTTCAGCAGCATTGTATCTCCTGGATTCGCAGCGTCTTGCAGGTCATACAGGTGAGATTCCATATTGATGCCCATGGTGTCCACAAACGTTAGGCCAAATAGTGTACAGTATATGCTGCAGAGGATAGTTTAAAACAAACCTGTTGTTCTGCCCTTTGTTGCTAGATCACATGTTCACTAACTGTATCTGAGCACCATGCTAATTAATTCATTGGTAATATTCCAACAAACTCCCCCATCCATCCAGCCATGTCTTCATGTTTTATTTTGTTGAGAAATCAATTTGAACTCTTCACTGGGTCTCGGTGCTTCTCTATGCAGTGCAGACAGTTTATGGCAGCCAGCAGGTTACTGTGCACGGTTTCTGTAAAACATCACAAGACCCTACCTATGTACTTCTTTCAAGAGCCCTCAGTCCCGATGCAATTAATGGGCGGCCTCTTGGTTTTGCAAATATATGAGAATATCTTGATATGTGGATGTCAGTCTGGAGAAGTGGGTGTTTCTAGGAAAGACTGTATTTGCATGCAGACTGCCATAGGTAATGGCCGTATGTGTACCTGAGCCTCCATGATTGAAAGCACTGAAATCCACTGAATGAAACAGGTGGGACAGTTAGGCTGGGGAGGAAAGTGCTAGAATCAGTGGTGGCGAACCTATGGCACGCGTACCGCAGCGGGCACGCAGAGCCCTCTCTGTCGGCACGTGAGCCAAGTTGCTCCAGCAGCTGAACATCAGATAACGGCGCACATAGGGGCCACTGCTCATGCTCGGAAAGGAGTAGCTGCACCAGGCGATGACATCACAAGCCATGGCTCATTAACTGCGACTCGTCCGAGCTTTCGCATGGCCGGTCACTGGCTGTGAGTTTTAATTCATTTGTTTTTAGTAGCACAAGATTTTAGCTTGTGCCGGCGGCCCGTGGAACTTTGCCCCTTGTGCTGGTGGTCAGTGGAACTTTGCCCCCTTGTGCCAGCGGCCAGTGGAACTTTGCCCCTTGTGCCGGCGGCCCGTGGAACTTTGCCCCTTGTGCCGGCGGCCAGTGGAACCTTTGCCCCTTGTGCCGGCGGCCAGTGGAACTTTGCCCCGTTGTGCCGGCGGCCAGTGGAACCTTGCCCCCGTGTGCCGGCGGCCAGTGGAACCTTGCCCCTTGTGCCGGCGGCCGTGGAACCTTTCCCCGTTGTGCCGGCGGCCGGTGGAACTTTGCCCCGTTGTGCCGGCGGCCGGTGGAACTTTGCCCCGTTGTGCCGGCGGCCGGTGGAACTTTGCCCCGTTGTGCCGGCGGCCGGTGGAACCTTGCCCCGTTGTGCCGGCGGCCGGTGGAACTTTGCCCCGTTGTGCCGGCGGCCGGTGGAACTTTGCCCCGTTGTGCCGGCGGCCGGTGGAACTTTGCCCCGTTGTGCCGGCGGCCGGTGGAACTTTGCCCCGTTTGTTGTGCCGGCGGCCGGTGGAACTTTGCCCCCCGTTGTGCCGGCGGCCGGTGGAACTTTGCCCCGTTGTGCCGGCGGAACTTTGCCCCGTTGTGCCGGCGGAACTTTGCCCCGTTGTGCCGGCGGAACGCCCCGTTGGAACTTTGCCCCGTTGTGCCGCGTGCCGGCGGAACTTTGCCCCGCTTGTGCCGGCTTTGCCCCGCTGTGCGGCGGAACTTTGCCCCCTGTGTGCCGGCGGAACTTTGCCCCGCTGTGCCGGCGGAACTTTGCCCCTTGTGTCCGGAAACGGCGGCCAGTTTGCCAGCTCTGTTATTGTGTTTTTCTTTTAAGACAAACAATGTTAATGTATGGGTTGTTTTTTCTAAACTAAAACCTCAGTATTCAGGTTTAATTGCAGTGTTGGCACTTTGTGATAAATGGGTTTTGGGTTGCAGTGTGGGCTCTCGGTCTATAAAAGGTTCGCCATCACTGCTCTAGATAATGCTGGATGTCCTCCATCCAGGATATCAGGTGAGCTCTACCTGACTTGCTGAAAACTCTAATGCCCATTGTGAGAAGCTCAGTATGCAGTGAAATCAGAGGAAGTCATTTCAGCCCAGGAGAGGAGCCGGCAGGTCAGCTTTAGGTAATATACTGGCTGATCCTCTAGGCTCAACTTTCCCTTTTGAATTACTTGACATAACAGTGTAAAAATGTTCCATAGATAAATCGTGTTATCGCTTCTTTGTACTTGTAATAATATCCATGAATGGAGTAGCCTGCGGTACATGGGACGTGAGGAATAAACCCCGAGGACATCCACGCTTGTTTACAAACTATTTTTGTGTAGCTATTCTGCTAGTGAAAGTTACAGCTACAGATCTCCGTGCATATAGTGTCCTTCATGTGGGCCAAGAACTGTATCCAGAACATCTTAGGTGGATGGGTGCAGGCTGGACCACAAACTATTTGATGGAGCTGCACCCGTGTTGGGATTTAGTCTTCTAAGATCTGTCTGAAGTTCCTAACGCTGTACTGAAGGAGCATTAACCCAGGACTATGGTCTGCATTACTCCTGCGCATGCAGTACTCCGTGCTCTAGTAGAAACATAGTTGGTTTTGTATTAATGTGTGCCTATTTTCCTGTGTTGTCCACAGTCCCAGGATCCTCCCAGGGTAATCAGTTTGGCGGTTTTCGTGCTACGCTCTCTTCTCACACATTCCTCTGCACTGCCAGAATTATCACGGGAAATCTCCACCAATCACGTTCCAGGATTGCTTACGTCGCTGCTGGGCCTGAGACGCCAGGTAATGCAATGGGAAGCATGCAGCTTGGCTTGTATAAAAATGTATACATGCTTAAAGGGTATCTCCATTTTATACTTTTTAAAAAATTTTGATTACATCTTAAAAGCCTCCCTGCTCCTCCTGTTCCCACTGCACTTGTCTGCATGTGCTTAAAATCATCCACTGCCGTATCTGCCATTTTACCGACCTGTATACTTGTTAACGTCATACACCAGAAGCGTAATGTGTGTCATGGCTCGTCATTGGTCAGCGTGGTCGTGTGTCAGCACTGACCAATGAAAGTCTTTACTTCCGGGACAAAAGAAAAGACCCTCAATGACCAGCTTAGTCACATGACTGTACTGACCAATGACCACAAGCCATTGCAGATGATATGCTGCTACACAGTTTCTGGGGCTGTGTATGGATCAATACATCGACAGATATGGGCGATTGATGAATCTAAGCAAACATAGATGCAGTGGAGCCAGGAGGCTGTTAGCCACTAGTCAGTCTCCCGCTCTCTGCCCCCCCGCTCTCTCTCTCTCCCCCGCACTCTTTCTCCCCCCCGCTCCCGCTCCCCCCCCCCCCCGCTCCCCCCCCCCCCCCCCCCCCCCCCCCCCGCTCTCCCCCCCCCCCCCCCCCCCCCCCCCCCTCTCTCCCCCCCGCTCCCCCCCCCCCCGCTCTCTCCCCCCCCCCCCCTCCCAGCTCCCCCCCTCCCCCCCCCCCAGCTCTCTCTCTCCCCCCCCGCCCCCTCTCTCCCCCCCCCTCTCTCTCCCCCCCCCCCACGCTCTCTCCCCCCCCCCCTCTCTCCCCCCCCGCTCTCTCCCCCCCCCCCCCCCCCTCTCGCTCTCCTCCCCCGCTCTCTCCCCTCCCCCGCTCTCTCCCCTCCCCCGCTCTCTCCCCTCCCCCCCCGCTCTCTCCCCCTCCCCCGCTCGCTCTCTCTCCCCTCCCCCGCTCGCGCTCCCCCCCCCCCGCTCGCTCCCTCACTCCCGCTCTCCCCCCCTCCGCTCGCTCTCCCTCCCCTCCCCCGCTCTCTCTCCCCCCCCCGCTCTCTCCCCCCTCCCCCCCCCTCTCTCCCCCCCCCCCCCCCTCCCTCGCTCTCTCCCCCCCCCCCCCCTCTCTCTCTCTCCCCCCTCTCTCTCTCCCCTCTCTCTCCCCTTTTTTTCCCCCTCTTTCTCCTCCCTTTCCTCCCCGCTTTTTTTTCTTTCTCTCTTTCTCTTTTCTTTCTCTTCTCTCGCTCTTTTCTCCCTTTTTCTCTCTCTCCCCTTTCTCTCTCTTTCTTTTTCTTTCTCTCTTTCTTTCTTTTTCTTTCTCTCTCTTTCTTGCTCTTTCTTTTTCTTTCTCTCTCTTTCTTGCTCTTTCTTTTTCTTTCTCTCTCTTTTCTTTCTCTTTCTCTTTCTCTTTCTCTCTCTTTCTTGCTCTTTTTCTTTTTCTTCCTCTCGCTTTCTTTTTCTTTCTTCCTCTCGCTTTCTTTTTTCTTTCTTCCTTTTCTTTTTCTTTCTTCTCTCGCTTTCTTTTTCTTTCTTCCTCTCGCTTTCTTTTTTCTTTCTTCCTCTCGCTTTCTTTCTCTTGCTTCTCTCGCTTTCTTTTTCTTGCTTCCTCTCGCTTTCTTTTCTTTTCTTCTCGCTTTCTTTTTCTTCTTCCTCTCGCTTTCTTTTTCTTGCTTCCTCTCGCTTTCTTTTTCTTGCTTCCTCTCGCTTTCTTTTTCTTGCTTCCTCTCGCTTTCTTTCTTTTTCTTTCTCTTCTTTCTCGCTCTTTCTTTTTCTTTCTCTCTCTCTTTCTCTATTTCTCTCTCTCTCTCTCTCTCTCTCTATCTAGATAAATAAACAGATTATAAAATCTACCCCCCTTTCAAATAATCACATTTTGGTGCTTTGCAGCCTGAAACTAAACCGTTTTTGTTTTATCCAGCTGTATGTGCAACTTAGAACATCCAAGTGAAAGCTATAACACCAATATGTCAGAGAAAAAACATCAAGAACAGAATCACTGAGTTGGAAAAATGATCACCCTCCCCCCTAAAAATTACTTGGAAACTCAATCATTTGTAGCTAATCACCTTCTCAATGGCACACAAAGCCATGTGCCTTTTAACTGTGATCAGCTGTGGTCATTTTGATTAGCTCAGCATGAAAAGAGCTTTCCTGGAGCATTTCAGTCCCTGATAGTGCAACTGAAGCAAACAATTAACTATGGGTGGCAAGGCGCTGTCAAAAGATCTCCGGGATAAAGTTCTGGACAGGTACAAGTCAGGAGATGGATACAAAAAAAAAAGTCAAAGGCTTGATCAATGTCTAGAAGCGCAGTGAAGTTTATTATTAAGAAGTGGAAGGTATTTGGTACAACACAGACCCTCCCTGGATCAGGACGTCGCTCCAAACTGGATGAAGGGGCCAGGAGGAAACTGGTCAGAGAGGCGACCAAGAGGCCTACAGCAATTCTGAATCAGTTACAGGAATTAATGACAAAGAGTGGTCATTGTGTGCATGTGACAACAATATCACAAACTGAACACAAATGTGGCTTGTATGGGAGGGTTGCAAGAAAAAAGCCGCTCCTCAAGAATGGTCACATGCAGTCACCACTGAGCTTGGCCAAAACACAGCTTGAAGATTCTAAGGCCACATGGAAAAAGGTGTTCTGGTCAGATGGGACTAAAATTGAATTATTTGGCCTCAACACCAAACAATATGTCTGGTGGAAATCCAGTACAGCTCACCATCCAAATCCCACCATTCCTACAGTAAAGCATGGAGGTGGGAATATCCTGTTATGGGGGGGTTTTCAGGAACTAGAGCACTTGCCAGGATAGAAGGAGAAATGGATAGGGCAAAATAACATCAAATTCTTGAGGAAAATCTGCTGCCCTCTGCCAGAAATGTGTCAATGGGAAGAAAAATGACCCCACAGTGGTTGGAGGAGAGAAAGGCGAATGTCCTTGCATGGCCTAGTCAGAGCCCAGACTTAAACCCCATTGAAAACCTGTGGAATGACTTGAAGACTGCAGTCCACAAATGTCACCATCAAATTGAACTGAATTTGAGCCGTTCTGCAACGAAGAGCGGGCAAATATTGCAAAGTCTAGATCTGCAAAGTTAGTAGAGACCGATCCCAGGAGACTAAAGGCTGGAATTAATGCAAAAGGGGGGTCAACAAAATACTGACACAAGGGGGTGATCCTTGTTCCAACTCAGCGATTTTTGTTTTTTTTTTTTTTTTTACACGTTGTGTTATATCTTTCACTTGAATGTTATCGGTTGAGTAAACACAGCTGGAAAAAAACAAAAACTGTGTCTGTCCTCATTTCAGTCTGCAAAGCAACAAAATGGGATTATTTTAAAGGTGGGTGATTTGTTGGCCTGATATGGGAGTCGTCCATAGCAGCCAGTCATGATGGCTATGTTTTCTGTGGATGGCTTCCATGTTTCCCCACTATGAAAATGCTAGGTAACAAATAATTATCTTGCTTTTTTTTGTCCTGTGTCCTGACTGTGCGTCTTTATGTTCCGTAGTGTCTGATGCCAGCTCTAGAAGGGATCCGGTCCTGCATGATCACTTATCCCCGAGCCTGTGGAGCCCTGCGGGTGTGTATCTGCAGCTTGGGAGCTTTGAACTAGACATGCTTATGGTATAGCAAGCTTACTCAATAAAGTGCTCCTGTGGCTATAAACAACCATTAACAGAGCTCTTTAAAGCGGTAATAAAGTCTGAAATTTTTTTTTAACCACTTGCCTACCGGGCACTTATATCCCCCTTCGTACCCAGGCCAATTTTCAGCTTTCAGCATTGTCGCACTTTGACAATTGCGCGGTCATGCAACGTTGTACCCATATGAAATTCATTCAATCATTTTTTCACACAAATAGAGCTTTCTTTTGATGGTATTTGATCGCCACATGTAAGTTTTCTCCTTCACTGATGTGCATTGATGAGGCTGCACTGATGGGCACTAATAGGTGGCACAGATAAACAGCACTGATAGTTGGCACGGATAAACAGCACTGATGGGCACTGATAGGCTGCACTAATGAGGGGACACTGATGAGGTGGCACTGGTGGGCACTGATGAGGAGGCACTGATGATGCTGCACTGATATGCAGCAATGGTGATCACTGATAGGCGGCCCTGACAGGCTGGCACTGGTGAATGGCACTGCAGTGCACTGATCATCAGTGCCCTGATGATCAATGCCGATCTCTGTGACAGCGTGAGGAAAGTGCTGCTGATAACCAGCAACTGTATTTACTCTGTGATCTGCTGTGTCATTGGACACAGCTGATCACGGGGTAAAAAGGCAGCTGTGATTGGCCTTTTACCTTATCACATGATCAGCTGTGGGCGCGCTGGAGGACGCATCCTGGGAGGATGTCATATGACACCCTCCCAGAACTGGGTAACCACACTGCAACCATCATTCGGCTATAGTGCGATTACCAAGTGGTTAAACAGAAGAGACCCAAGTGGTCTCTTCTGGTATAAATGCTTCTCCCGGCCTGTCAGCAGTAATGTAAGCTGGGCTGTGCATGTGCAGCTCAGACCACATTTATGACACCCGTCCTGTGCGCATATAAAGTGATTCTCACATGCATGCGCGGTAGTGACATCACTGCGGCTTGTCCATCTATGTGGCTGCAGAAAGTGAACCCAGAATGAAGACTGGGTGAAAATAGAAGCGCCTAGGTCCAGCGGGAGTGGAGACAGCACATCAATGGAGGGCTTCTTTTGACGGGTAGGTCCACCATAATGCGTTAATATGCTGTGCTCACTAGCAACCTTATGGCAAAACAAACCTGGGGCCCATTTAAAAAAGAAATGTATAATACCGCTTTAAGGGTGACAGGCTTAAAGCTGAACTCTAGCCTTTCTTTTTTTTTTTCTCCTCTCCTCTGTTGATGATGACTGCTCTCATTTCCTTTTTACATATCTAAGATGCTGCACAAGCTACATTGAACCCTCCTAATTTCTGGTTTGAACAAATTCATTCATCATTTTCCACATCTCTCCTGTCCTTGGCCCTCCTCCTACGAGCCATTAGCTTCCTAATCCATCCGTCACCTTTTATCGACATCCTGCATGGGCAGGGTCTTGTTGGTCTTGGTGTCATTAGTGGGCGTGTTTGTGTTGCATTGCATCATTGTGGATAGTTGGGATTACACCTACACAGGGGTGGACTGACCGTTTGGAAACTCGGGCACTGCCCGAGGGCCCGGGGTCAGTAGGGGGCCCCATGAGATGCCCCTGGTACCTTTTTCATAGGCTTTTTTGAGTTTGGGCAAGGACACAGGGGCCCCATGATCCCCTATTGCCCAGGGGCCCCATGAGTTGTCAGTCCGCCCCTGCACCTAAATTATATTTGTTACACAGTCCCATTTACGTAGCGTAACTTAAAAAAATGGTTACTTTATCTCTTATAAATCCTTCCTAGCTTTTCCCTACTTTGCAATGTTAGGTTGTGCTAACTATAATTAACCCTGTGTGCTCTGTGTTGGCAGATCTCATTATAACGTGTAAACTAGATGTATACTCTGTCTAGCCTAAAAAAGGGGAAAAAGCCAGGCTTGGTTGGTGCATTCTATGTTACTGCGCTTTCGAACAAATCTGTCCATAAATGAGCACATTGCAAATTTGACTGCAAAACTGGAAATGCACTTTAAAATATGAGTTGATAATTCCCTTGTCTCCTTCCTCTGCTTTAGTAAATAGCCATGTTATTGTCTATTTACGTCTTCCAGTACTTGTTTGATTATTGTGAGGCAGCACAGTGGCTAAATGGTTAGCACTTCCGCCTGACAGTACTAGGGTCATTGGTTCGAATCTCAACCATGGCACCTCCTGCCTGGAGTTTGCATGTTCTCCCTGTGTGTGTGGGTTTCCTCCGGGTACTCCAGTTTCCTCCCACTCCTCCAAAGACATGCTGGTAGTTTAACTGGCTCCTGTCTAAATTGTCCCTAGTATGTGTATTTATGGATGTGAGTTAGGGACCTTAGATTGTACGCCCCTTGAGGGTTAGGGACTGATGTGAATGTTCAATATATATGTAAAGTGCTGCATAAATTGAATGCGCTATACAAGTACCTGAAATAAATGAATAAAGTGTGTCTCTCCTGCAGGGAAAGCTCACTGCCTTTTTCCTGAGTCTCTTGGATGAAGAAAATATGCAGGTTCAGGAGGTAAGATGATATTGAATAGAGAATAAAAAACATAGAAGAATTGTACTGTAGTCTCACTGATGATTAGCTATAAAGAGTATCGCTTCTCGGCCTTTTGGCTAAGATAAAGTGTGTAGATATAAAGAGTAAAAGTAACAGATCCGTTTGATGCCATTAATATTGTCATGTATTTTAAAATTGTTGATTTTATCATTTTCTTTGTATGTGAGTGTAGCTATTTTGATTTTCTTGAATCACTAGTGCTTAAAAGAAATAGTCTTTCTGATTGGCAACTAGAGACCATGTGATCTAGGCCAGGGCTTCAAATTTCCACTCTCCTGCTCGCCAATGGCGAGTGGAAATTATGGGGGGGGGGGCGAGTGTGTCCCCCAGTGACGTCTTGCTGAGCAGGCTTGGTGCTCAGGCCGTATCTGTCATTGGCACCGGGAGCCGTCTGACTGCTCAATAGCTGAGCGCAGTGAAAGCAAAGGAAGGAGTGTGTGCTGTGCTCTCTGCCTCCCCCTAGAGTGCAGTACCCGGCTCTGTGAGTGAACAACAAAGTACTGCAACTTTTTATGGGGTGGTGGTGTGTGTGTGTATGTGTTTGTCTGTGTATGCATTTACAATTTTACATGTGTCTGCATGTATGTACATGTCTGTGTGTGTGTGCATGTACATGTGTATGTACATGTATCTGTGTGTATGCATGTCTGTACGTGCCTGTGTGTGTATCCATGAGTCTATGTGTGTGTGTGTGTGTGTGTGTGTACATGTGTCTCTGTGCGTGTGTATGTACATGTCTGTGTGTGTGTGTGCGTACATGTGTCTCTGTGCGTGTGTATGTACATGTGTCCCTGTGTGTGTATGTACATGTCTGTGTGTGTGTACATGTCTCTGTGCGTGTGTATGTACATGTCTGTGTGTGTGTGTACAGGTGTCTCTGTGTGTTTTATTGGTGGCGAGTAACTCTAAGGCCTGGCTAGTAGCTCAGGACTAGAAATTTTAAGCCCTGAGCTAGGCTATGGAAAAGCAGTATGTTTGCTATAAAAAATGGTGGGAATGTTTGGTGTCACATTGATGACATTTAGGCTTGTTGCACCTAATCCAAACTTATTTAACTATTGCCATGGTAACAAGAAATCGCTTTTGTAAGAGGAATAGTAGACTTCAAAACAAAGTGTATTTATCCTTTTTATTCTTTTCCATGACCTAACCTAACCCACTCACCACCTGCACAGATTCATACTTCTAGTCTGACATCCACGATTCCACTGTTTACATCCAGCGCCACAAGTCTTTTGCCTCCCTGGCCACACCTGTGCATTACAGACCTCTATAGGGCATCTCCAGCCTCTAGACACAGCCTCACAAAACTTTGCGGCAGGAGATTGAAGACTTATCCTTTTAAAAATTTAAATTTCTGAAAGAACTTTCCATACTCTCCTCCTTCCCTGCATGTTAATTGTATTATACTAGTGTGGCTTACACAAGGTACGTACAGGAAGTTTCTTTTTCGTTCAACTCAGCGGGCCAAACGAAAAACAACTGAGAGGTTGCAGTACTACGTGATGTTAGTGCAATGAGCTTCCCCGCTGTGCTATTGTGTTCTGACAGGGGAACTGAACACCCCCCCCTCCCCCCCGTCAGAACACACTGATCAGTTCTCTCATTGGCTGCCAGCGCTGATCGGATGCTGGTTTTACAGCATGCCCATCCCACAGAAGCCGGACAGCAGGCTGCTGTACACATGGGCCAAATGTTGGCGGTTTTCTGTTCGCCCATGTGTTCCAGCCTTTAGTACAAAGTTTGTATTGGTTTCCCATGACTCCTAATTGAGCTTACTTCTTGTAATTTAGCTAGGGTGATTACAGCCTCTTATCAGTCCTTGCTTCCTGTACAGGGAAACTTGAATTTTTTATTCCCGGTCTTCACCAAGTACAAAAGTAAATTTGATTCAATGGTTATTGTCACTATCGCACGGTCGCCGCCACCAACATGCGACAATCGCACGACCGCGACTAACAGTAATACGTCCCGCCTGCGGCGTCAGATCCCAGACCTTCTCACCAACTCATGACCGAAGGACCGGCCGATCTACAACCGCGGTGTGACGCGCGTAACAAGGCCCCACCCAGCTGTACCCTGCACAGCGATTGTCCAGCTAATGGGCTACAATCGCTGCCTGAAGCCTGAATGCGCTTGTTACTGGATCGGGTTAATTACACTACTAACCCTCTACTGCCACCACCACTTTTGTCGGAGACTGGGAAACTCCCGTTATCAAATATACACTATAATGATTGAAAAGTCGCCTGTCCAAAACGGTCACCGCAGGCCTATTGGACAGAGGATTAAACAAACACAGTAGCGTCTCTTCAAAGGCAGGATTTCGTGAATTGCAAGCAAGCGCTTAGAAACAGTTTAACACTTTCAGAAAGAAAGATTTATTACGAAAAGAGTCAAACAGGTGCAATAAAATATTTACAAAGAAAATGTAACTATATATATATATGTGTGTGTATATATATATATATATATATATATATATATATATATATATATATAAAGGTACAGCAAAGAGATAATAAGAAGGAAAGTACAGGGTTAAGTTACTTGCTCTTACGCCTTGGTTTGTAAACAGATCCACGTTGCAGAGCGAAAGGGTCTCCCTAGGTGGTGTCTTGATGGTTTTTGGGAGATGTGTTCCAGCTTAGCTCCAGGCTTGCAGCCTGTCCCTTTTTAAAACCCCCCTGCAGGGGGGGGGGTGGCTCAGAGTCTGCCCAATACAATATTTTGGGCAGGAGGTTAGTGGACTCTCAATTAAAACTAACAGCTTCATACTCCATGATATGAAACATAGGTGACAGCTGACCTGAGGAATGTTCAATTAACTGCTGGTCAGTTTTATGAGGTTCCAACTTCTTTCAAGTCCGGGGAGAAGCTGCCTTATCTGTTTTATGATGGGTGAGCCTACACAAGGTCTGGGATCAGTGCTTTTAGGTGAGAAAGGTTACGCTTCCGCAGACTGCTGGCACCAAACCAGGAATGCCTTCACCTGTTTTGACCCCCCCACCATCTGCCACTCAAGAAGGGAGGGGGTAGGGAGTGAATGATCGAGGAATACCTCAAAGAAAAAGGAAAAAGGGGAACTCCGCGTCCAACTCTGATGAGCAAGTTTGCTACAGTTATTTTACAACCTTCATCTAAACTCAGAATCTGTAATCTGCAGAATTCCCAACTCAGGATAAGGTGTTCATTGAGCACCAATTTACTGGCTCTTAGAAGTCACACCCTCCCATATCTATTTCATTTTAATCTTTTAAACCTAAAGTGAATGGTTGATGTGTTTGTAAATTTCTTATTTATAAGAAACTAATTTGTGATCTATTTCTCTCTCTGGAAACAGCTGGCCTGCCAGTGCTTCTCCCTCCTGCCGTCCTTGGGCTCTGGCTTCTCACAGGGAGTTAAACACACAGAGAATTGGGAACGGCAGATGCAGAGCGTTCTATGCTCGCTCCATTCTGTGTTCCAGCAGCTCTATCAAAATGCTGAGACCGGTAAGTGTACATGTCCTAGGAGTGGATGTAACCCTAGGTTCACAGCTATGCGGCCTTGCGGGCCGTGTTTTGCTCGGACACGAGAGCCCATTCATTTGAATGGACTCCCATGCCACGCAGGGAAAGAAGTCCCTGCACTACTCTGGAAATTGCAGCTCGTACGGCAACCTTGTTCCCAGTACGGTTGTGTTTCCCAGTGCGGGCGGCGTGCCATTAGAACTAATGGCACTGCCCGCGGGTCCGCTACTCTCTCTGTGCGGCTGCACGGATTTTCGTGCGGATCCGCAGAGGCACCACCCGCACAGATGTAAACGGGGGTAAAAGACTGTCAGTGTGGGAGTTATGTGGATAATGCTGTTACAACTGTTCTTATCCAGTGTTTGGAGGATGTCATTGCTGCCTCTGGATGCAATGCGAGTCCTGCAGCAGAACCGATCTCTAAAGCATGAGATTCCTGCCCCAAGACTAGCAGTGCACGTAGTGTGCCTCCAGAACTGAATTGGAACCTTGGTTAATCTTGGTGATGGCTGTTCGTAGAAATTCTGTGTTACACTGAACATTGCCCAATAAAATTATAAGTCCCACTTTGGAGGACCCACATGGTGGCTACCATTACAGGTACTAGGCAGAAAAAAACGAATTAATCAACTGCTATGATTCAGGCAGCCCAGATATTGATCTTTTTTTTTCCCATTTAACCTACAAGTTGAATGAAAAAAAAAAAATCAGATTCCCCATCCACACATTTTGAGGTGGATGGGGGGGAATCCACTTTCTGACAGTGGAAAGCCTTCCATGCCATCAGAATACAATGATCAGAGTTGCCAGCTATAGCCAGTGGCACCGATTGTTTGGGGGAAAAACCCAACAGGCTGGTTGTACCCAACTTGGGTACAACGTGCCCCCCATACATGGAACAAAATTTGGCCAATCCCTGTTGCACCAGCTGAATTTTGATCCATGTATGGCCAGCTTTAGTTTGGTTGTTTGCCATTCCATTGTCTTTGATGGTACCTCAGTCATGATGTAGGCAGGTGGGCGAGGAGGCTTAGGCGATGTCTGGACAAAATATGTATTCTATATCTGCAATACATGTGCATTACATCTCTGCATCTCAGTATGTATTCCATATCAGAAATGCATGTACATTATTAGCCCTGTAAAAATGTTGCAGGCACAGAAAAATACAGAGAAATCCAGAGAGCTCCTAACTTCCTGTTATTGGCTTACAACTCTTCATCTCTGAACCTCCTTGGCGGTATTCCCGAGTGTAGCTCGGGGTAAAATTTCAGTACCAAGAGCGGTAACCCCGAGCGACACTCGGGCTTACCATGCGGCGTTGCTCAGGGAGTCCCTGCAGCGCTTACTTTGTCCTTCGCTCCCGCGATGTTTCCCCTGCAGCGTCCCCGGCCATCTCCTCCGGCCGATGCCGGCATCCGGCTTCCGTGTTCCGGTCCCTGTGACGTCGGGACGTACGGGCGAACCGGCAAAATTTGAAATTTTTAAAAAATGTAATTTTTTAAAAAATGATTATTATATAGTAAAACATTGCTGTTTCAATGCATTTCACATACATTTTGTCCCTACTGCTTTGTCCGTGCCCCTGCCTGCATTTTCACTGTTCTTTCTGCCTGGAAACTTAGAAACATCCATGGCGTCCACAAAGCGCCCCTTTAGTCAAAAGCGGTTTTAGACCAGCTAGAGAACAGCGATAGTAAATCAGAACCACTTGCAGAATTGAGTGATTTTCTGGGGGAAATTCATCATCAGACACTGAAAAAGATTTGCGAGTTTGCTCAGCGATGTGCGAATTTGCCTCTGTATTTCAAATTTCAGTGTTTTTGGTTTGATTATATTATTGAATTAAATTTATTATTATTATTTTATTATTTTTTATGATTATTTATTAAATTATAATTTTATGATTTCTTGTTTCAAATTTTATCATACCCGGGATGTTTACTAGACTCTTGTTCGTACAGATTTCAGTGAGTTATTCCTAAAAATTACAGCCTACAATAAAAAACTACATATTTCCATGCAAAAAAATGTACCGCTTTCAGCACAAAAAATCTGAAATAATCAGACCGCCAGGGAGGTTAAACCGAATCTTAGGCAGTGTTGACAGTCAACCAGAGGGGAACTCGGGCAAAGCTAACAGAACTCATCCCTCTCCATATGCATACATTTTATTTCCCAAAAAAACCATACTCCTGCCTTGACTCCAATAGACCTGCCTACACAGTGTGTGGTGAAAGGGCTTTTGGAAGTTGTAGTTCTGGGGGAAGGGGGTGTACCTACATTGTTAGGAACAGACCTAGGGCACTCTGATGATCTCTCATACTAGCAGCTGCTCCTGATACAATATTAATAGTATGGAGATGATGTCACAAAGCATAATAAAAGCTTTTTCTTGGTACAGGAACAAAGTAACAGTATACAAAAAATGGATGCTAAAATACACTCTACAAGGGGAGAGAAAAATTTGGGATACATACAGGTCATGTGTACCTACATGTACTTTTATGCAGGCCATAGGCGGGTCGAAAATCGGCCAATTTTTCTTTTAAAAAAACAAAAAATCGGTCGTTCAAGCGGCTGACGTTGCCAGCAACGGTAAAAAAAAAATCGGCCGAATTTTCATCCCGTCTACAGCCGGCAAAAAGTGTCCCTGCAGAGAGCTCCGCTATTTCTTTTACAGTTCCTTGACATTTATAGCGGTTGCAACAATGTATCTATTTGTATCCATTTAGGATACAGATGGTTTTTATTCAGAAACAAATAGATACATTGTTGCAACCGCTATAAATGTCAAAGAAATAGCGGAGCTCTCTGCAGGGACATTTTTTGCCGGACTGGAATTCCTCTTCTTCTTCTTCTTCCTCTTCCTCCTCTTCTCATCCTCTTCTTCCTCCTTCTTCTTCTTCTTCTTCTTCTTCTCCTCCTCTTCTTCTTCTTCTTCCTCCTTCTTCTTCTTCTTCTTCCTCCTCTTCTTCTTCTTCTTCCTCCTCCTCTTCTTCTTCTTCTTCCTCCTCTTCTTCTTCTTCTTCCTCCTCTTCTTCTTCTTCTTCCTCCTCTTCTTCTTCCTCCTCTTCCTCTTCTTCATCCTCTTCTTCTTCTTCTTCATCCTCTTCTTCTTCTTCTTCATCCTCTTCCTCTTCTCTTCTTCCTCTTCTTCTTCCTCTTCATCCTCATCTTCTTTTTGTCTTCCTCTTGCAGGTCACTGCTCATGCGCAGATTTTTTTATCGGTAAAAAATCGGCCGATTTGCCCATCATTGCCGCGAAAATCGGCCGGCAAAATCGGCCGATTTTTTTCCAACTTTACCGATAAAAAAAATCTGCCAAAATACCGAAAAACGGCCGAACATTTAGCCCACTAACGATCCGAAAATCGTCCGATTTTATTTTCGGACGAAAAATTGGCCGATTTTCGACCCATCTATGGCCTGCATTAGTCTCCAGTAACAAACTCAAGGTAAAGGCTAGGTGTTTAGGGCTTATGCACTCTGGGCTGGGGCTTGAAAAAAAACTCCGCTTTTACAGGCGTTTGGCTTTTTTATTTTTTTTGCCTGTAAACGGACCTCGATGTTGGCCTATGTCTGAGTGTACGCATAGGTGCTTATAGGCATATTAGAAAAGGAACGTGTACAGGCTGAACAAAAAAACATCACCAGCGTGTTCAGGAGAGAAGCATTTGGCCAGAAAAAAAATACGAAAGATGCATAAACACTAGGTGCCTTAATGCATTCTAATGGCCAGAATAAATTAATATTGTGGCCAATAGAAAGCATTAAAGCACATAATTGCATGTGCAATCACAGAGAGCTGCCGATGTGAGGAGGGGTTGGTTCTGGGAGACGTCATATGACGCCCTCCCAGAACTGGACGACCACGTTGTAGCCGCCATTTGGCTTAAGCGCGATCAACAAGTGGTTAAAGTAACCGCATAATGAGAATAGTAGGGGCACTGCCATTGATTACCTGTCCTTACAGAATGTTAGTTCCGTGGCTGTCATGCCGGTTTAGTACTTTGGCTTCAGTGCCTTTTGACCTGGAGCAGGTATAGAAATAAGGATTTATGACCTCTTTGCAGTGTGCTTGTTCTGTGATTCAAATGTTAAAGCCAGAGTCATTCATCCAGGATTTTCAGGAAGGCCAGAATTGACAGCTCCTGTACTTTACTCAAGATGGTCACTTGAAGCATCCAGAGGTTGGGTTATGTAGAGGTCCTTTTCCTTTAGGGCAGTGGTTCTCAACCTTCCTAATGCCGTGACCCTTTAATACAGTTCCTCATGTTGTGGTGACCCCCAACCATAAAATTATTTACCCAGTAATTATAATTCATGAAGTATCGCTTTACCGCCAATACTGCTGCTTTCTACACTGTAGCTGCTTTCTACACTGTAGCTGCTTTCTACACAGTAGCTGCTTTCTACACAGAAGCTGCTTTCTACACAGTAGCTGCTTTCTACACAGAAGCTGCTTTCTACACAGTAGCTGCTTTCTACACAGAAGCTGCTTTCTACACAGAAGCTGCTTTCTACACAGAAGCTGCTTTCTACACAGAAGCTGCTTTCTACACAGAAGCTGCTTTCTACACAGAAGCTGCTTTCTACACAGAAGCTGCTTTCTACACAGAAGCTGCTTTCTACACTGTAGCTGCTTTCTACACAGAAGCTGCTTTCTACACAGTAGCTGCTTTCTACACAGTAGCTGCTTTCTACACAGTAGCTGCTTTCTACACAGTAGCTGCTTTCTACACAGTAGCTGCTTTCTACACAGTAGCTGCTTTCTACACTGTAGCTGTTCTTTACACATCGGAAATATGTGTTTTCCGAGGGTCTTAGGCGACCCCTGTGAAAGGGTCCTTCGACCCCCAAAGGGGTCGCGACCCACAGGTTGAGAACCACTGCTTTAGAGGTTATTTGCGTACATTTCACCCACCTTGTTGTATAGCTGTTTCTAAATGTTTTTGTTCCCCCCCAGACACCACCCACT